TAACTCAGATGTTATGTCTCCTCTCTGAGCTTGTTTCCTCTTTTGTAAAACAGGGATAATTATGGTACCTACTTCATAGGACTCTTGAATTACAAGAGTAAGAGGTACATGTGAAGCACTAGAATGGTGCCTGGCACACATTAAGAACACTGTTTTCGGGCAGTGCCCGTAGCTCAGTGGGTAGAGTGCCAGCCACATGCACCAGGGCTGGCAGGTTCGAACCCAGCCCTGGCCTGCTATAACAAAAAATAGCCAGGCATTGTGGCTGGTGCCTATAGTCCCAGCTACTAGGGAGGCTGAGGCAAGAGAATCACTTAAGCCTAATAATTGGAGGTTGCTGTGAGTTGTGACGCCACAGCACCCTTACCGAGGGCAACAAAGTGAGACTCTGTCTCAATTTCAAAAACAAAACACCATTATCTAGTTTAGTTTGATCTCACAACAATCATTTCACTGTGGAAGAAATGGAGGTAAAAAAGTGAAGCTGCTCACCAGACCGTCTCAGGCAGTCAACCCCAGGGCATATACCTTTTAGTAACTCAACCAATACTCCAGATTCAAGCCCAAGTGAATCATTTGATTCCATTTTATAGGTAGGAATGGGATAGAGCATCTAAAACAAGTATCTCAGAGTTAAGTGATAGTAACTTTACTTAAGTCCAAATCAGATCTGATCCCTGAGATCACCGCTGAGAGCCTGCTAGTCAGACAACTCCCATCCTTCACTCCTGTACTTCCCAGGGAAGGTGTGAGTAAGGACTCCGAATCTTCACTCTCCTTTTCTCTACTTCTGCTCCAGGAAGGATGGGGACACAATGGGCATTTAGTCAAAAGGAACTTATTTTGGTTTAATGACATTTAAACTGGAGCTTTGTATGGACTTTCTAATTACAAAAGCAATGAGAGTTCAATGTGGCACCTTTGGGGGAGGATGGGAAAAAATTAAAATCATTTCAGTGCTTACCGAGAAGTGCTATTTGCATTTGGGTATATGTCCTTTCAATATTTTTATACAGGTGAACAGAGTTTCATTAAGAGTTTGGATAATCAAAAATTCTTAAAGTTTTAGAAGAGGAAGGGCTGTTTTTGTTTGTCTGTTTTGAGACAGAGCCTCAAGCTGTCACCCTGGGTAGAGTGCCGTGATATCACATCTCACAGCAACCTCCAATTCCTGGGCTTAAGCGATTCTCTTGCCTCAGCCCCCCAAGTAGCTGGGACTATTTTTGGTTGCAGTTGTCATTGTTGTTTGGCGGGCCTGGGCTGGATTCAAACCCACCAGCTTTGGTGTATGTGGCTG